AGCAAGTGTTGTTGAGGCTCGTGGGACTCGAGTTCTCAGGTTGTAACGGTTTGTTAAGCACCCGTAAGCTTAACGGGAGTAGTGTAGCTCGAGAGAGTCTCTCGGGAGACTGGACTAGCCACACGTTGTGGTGAACCAGTATAAATCTTGGTGTGTTCCCTTTACTCCTTTTTATTCCGCTCTTTACTTTATCCTGCAATTCTTATTCCGCAAAAATTTATAAACTTTCTCGTGCCTCAATATTTACCCCCCCTCTAATGAAGGGCACCTATTCTAAGAATTGGTATCGGAGCCTAACTCTCTACAAGCCTTAACCAGTTGAGAGAACGATCCGAGTAGAGATTGCTCTGTTTGTGAGTTGTAAAAATTTGGGACAAAATCAACCTGCTAATCATCATATGAGACGTGACTACCTCATAAATTAGAAGTAAGAAACTTATAATAACAAGTAATATAGAGACATATTGTACTTTATATCTACTCCCTCCGTCCCCCAATTTTTGTCCACTTTTGACTTTTGGAACTATTCATCTAAGCACTTTGACTCATCAAATTCTCTCAATGTGTATGCCTAAAGGAAGTAAACATGTGCCCCACTAGTCCACTACATATATATGACAACATGACACACCAAAGCAGATCTAATGCATATTAATTCTACAGAATAAAGGAACCAAGTTGTCAATCTAGAGATATTAAGGTTTAACAAGAAGGCAAAGGCAGAAAGTAATAAAGATCAAGCTTGGCCGAGGAAGTGCAGCATTATCAATGACCACAATGAAAAAAATGATTACTACAAAAAATTATCAGAAAAAAGAATGAAATAAAGAGAAAGCATGATGAAGAGGTAACACATATGTGTCAATGTAGGAGAAATCGCCTTCTTCCGATAGTGAAGTAACAGTTAGTCAATGCAACTTTTGAAGCTCATTAGTCATCATGGGTTGTCTTGAAACAACCGCTCTATGTTTTAAACATAAAGGTCAAGGTGCCCACACCCGACCCCCCTCACCCCACAAAGGGTGGGAGCACTTGAGGAACAGGGGTAATGTTGTTTTATAAGACTAGACAATTCACTGCCTTGAAACACGTTAAAGAGAGAGTTCCATCCCTGATACAAAAGTCACAGCACCAACAAATTTGCCAATTTTAGTTGGTCATGACCGCTAAAAAGCACACTCCCCTGTGACATTGATATCATCAATCAATGCAAGAAGTCAGATGTGATAATACTGTGCTATTTTATTTAAATAAACTTCCTACTCGTAAAATATAAGCTAAAACTATTTGGCAAGACGTGTGGCTAAACTGCTCACCGCCTAGGAACACATTAAAGACTCTAGATTCATCTCTGATACATAATTCACAACACCTAGAAGTTTCCAAGGTTTCTTAGACTTAGCATGTGGAGTGTAGAGATCAAAGAAATCCAAGTATCGTCCTTCAATGCTAGTAAACATGTGCCCCAGTACATATATATGACAGCATGAAAGACCAAAGCAGATCTAATGCATATTAATTTTATAGAAATAAGGAACCAAGTTGACAATCTAGAGATATGACACGAAGGCAAAGGCAGAAAGCAATAAAGATCAAGCTTGGCCCAGGAAGTGCAACATTATCAATTACCAGAATGAAAAAAATGATTAATACAAAAGATTATCAGAAAAAAGAATGAAATAAAGAGAGCGCATGATGAAGAGGTAACACATACGTGTCAATGTAGGAGAAATCGCCTTCTTAAGGTAGAGTTATTACATGTTTTGGGTTAACAATCAAGACCACTGTTACAATACTAGATAAAGCTCCCAGTTGGATCTGGATAAATAATGCAAAAATGCATCTGCTTTTCTTTTTGGGGGAAAAAAGAGACTGCTAGATTGCAAACGATGGCATGGAAATAGTCAAAGAGAAAAACAAAAAACGAACCTCCAACAGAATAAAAGTACTTTCAAGATGGCAATATGAAAAAACAGATCTCAAAATGGCAAAGAGAATATAGAAATGTGAAATAACTGAATTAAATTTTACCGTTACTTCTAGGTTATGAATATAGGAAGACATTGCATCAACAAGCTCTCCAAGATTGTGTGGAGGGATATTTGTGGCCAGGCCAACCTGAAAGCATAAAGAATGGAAACAATCGCATGACAAAAGGATATGTAAACTGGTATAGAAATGAATAGAAGAACAAAAGATTTAACTATTTTCTAGATCAGACCAATTACCATAATTACAGAGCAGCATTCAGAAGTAGATTCCGGATTCTAGCAGCGAGTAGAGATTGCTCTGTTTGTGAGTTGTAAAAATTTGGGACAAAATCAACCTGCTAATCATCATATGAGACGTTACTACCTCATAACTCAGAAGTAAGAAACTTATAATAACAAGTAATATAGAGACATACTGTACTTTATATCTACTCCCTCCGTGCCCCAATTTTTGTTCACTTTTGACTTTTGGAACTGTTCATCTAAGCACTTTGACTCATCAAATTCTCTCAATGTGTATGCCTAAATTTAGTCATGTGTGATCTTGTTTGATTCGTCTTAACATATAGATTATTAATATATAATTTCTATAATTTTTTAATATACAAATTACAAGATAAAATGGATTAAAGAAGTGCATTGGATGGTGTGTAAAAATGAAACTGGACAAATACTCTGGGACGGAGGGAGTATGTCTGAGAGCAGCATTGCTTCTGTATGGGCCTGAAAATGAAACAATTTATTAGCATCGTCAGAAACAAAAAGAAAATATGATTATCGGATTTAATATAGGTATAAGAATTAGAATATAAAACTTACAAAAGATAATGGGTATTGGAAAAAGAGGCTTTACCCAAGAGTAAAAAGCATAAATATTCATTAACATTAATTTTAACAAAATATTACATCTGTTTTTGTTTCATTCCCCTCCCTCTTTTCAGGCAGCAGCCATTGTGATATCAAGATGAAGAACGTCTCGTACAGAC